CAGTGATCTCTTCAACCTAATCGCTTTAGTAAATGACTTAGTTTTAAATCATTGTAAAATTATAAACCCTTTGATTTTCTTAATCAACGTTTTGTTATCCATTTACCCTGGAAGATAAAAACTACAAAAAAAATCAACAAATTACCTTATCAAATCTTCTTTAAAAGCCATCGTTAGACCCTATTTCTTGATCCTACATCTTTCCAAAAATTGTGAAAAACTCCAAAAATATTATCAAATTATTATTTTTCTTGTATAACAATTTGTGTGTGTGTGTGTGTGTGTGTGTGTGTGTGTAACACACACACACACGTCTCAGATCACTACCTCAAAACATTAATATTTCAACTCTATTTCAAGGCTTGGAGTTTTTCTAATTTCCCGCACCAACTTTTTTAAGTTCAAATATAAGCTCTTCCTCTTAAGTTATTCTAATGCTTATTTCGATCATTTTGATGCTTCATTTTAAAACTTCACATTATATATAACCACACAAAACTATATATCACCTTTAAAATCCTATTAAAAAAGATTTATTCTCATTTTTGGCCACTATTAGTGGTCCAAATTCAGCTGACGCATCATTTTAGTATAAAAAATAGAGGTTGGTGGGTACATACAACAAGTTCACTATTTTAAGGATTGGAGAGGGGTGAAAATTGAAATTTAGCAAGGTATTTCAATGTAATTTTAGATTAAATTATTTTCCTTTAAAGATATTCTTTATTTCTATAGTTGAATTCTTGATAGTATAGTTGTAGTAGGTGATTCCATAACTATTTATAATTATACCAACTAGTTGGCACCACTTAGAAAACCTTAGCCTTATTGTGTGACCAACCCATAACTTTACATCCATTGAGTGTTACATTTATGAAGGAAGTGCTTATAATCAAGCTTTTAAACTATGTTTCAAACTTTACATGAAAACTAATATTATACTACTTGGGGTTTTATTTTAGATTGCTTTATCTTTATATTTTTTATTTTTGTTTCCACTCGTTACCTTATATTTTGAAGACTAAACCAATTTTAAGAAGTTTTGCATCATTATTTAATGTTCACACCAGTGATCCAACTTAAAATTTCTTATTAAATTTGTTTTGAAGTTAGACATACTTGCATAAATATTATAAAATTATTCAATTTAGATAATAAGGCAAAAAAGGCCCTACATAATATAAAAAGAATAATAAAACACAAGAACTCATTATGATACTATCTATCCAAGTGTAAACTTTAAACATCGGAGCTCAAACTCCATATTTTGCCCCAAACCAGCTAACCCTGACAACATTGGTGAAGAATTTGTGGAAACCCTTTAAATTGACCTTCCACCTAAGAGGCCCGCTTTTAGGAACCCACATATGAATGATGGCATAATTTATTAGTATATGGTTTGCTAGAGGTTTATTTGGTATGGATTTAAAGCTTGAATCACTAAAATAGATGATCCAGGCACTTGAACAACCCAACATAAGAGTTGTTAATAAAACTTCAAAAACATTGTGTTGACAATTAGGACAACTCTAAGGCTTAAATAAAGTAAAATATTAGGATTTTGAGGATAGTGGTCATCTAAGAAGTTTCAAATTTTAAAAAAAATTATGAATATTTTATTGGTAGTTACATTAATACTAGGTACTTAGAAATTGTATCCTTACCTAATAGACCAGATTGAGTTACAAACTATGTGGGTTATAAAAGGCAAGAATATAAATTTTAATATATACACTATGTTTTCAATAATTTTTTGAAAGATTTAAGATCAATAAATGGGGCCTAAAAATAAAATAAGTTTGTTTTCAACATAATTTTGACTGACCTCTAAGAGAAAATTTAGGAAGGCAATTTGTGGAGTTTTTTTCGTATATTATTACTTCTAAGGTAAAGAGAGAAGCAAAAATAAACCAAAAAAATAAAGAGCATAAAAATTTACAAAAAATTAAAATCAAGTCACTTATTAAAGTGAATGAATATAGGAGATCACAAACCCCCTCTTTTATATGATTTAACTACCCAACCTCACCACAAATGGAATTCACTTCAAATTTTTATTAAAAACAAGTCACACAATTCAAATGGAGGAAATGAAGCAATTAAATAAAAAACCTTATGATTTGGACATAAAACTCTCACTTTTGACATAGGATTATGCAAATATATAAAATTTTGTAAATTAAAAAATCAAGCATATGCATTAGAAGATAAAAATATGAAAAGCCCTGCAGTTCCATGATAATTGTTTTTTAGTTTGGGCACAAACAAAGCGAAATATGGTGAATTTCATATAAGAGCATTAATCAAAGATTTTAAGATGCATTTGCAGTGAAAGACCTATAAATTGCAAGAAGAATTTGTAGAAGAATAAGTAAAGAATTTTATATGTTTGGCTTGATATGAATTGCCTTGAATTGACCACGTTTTCCTTGTCTTGACTTCTCCTCCTTGAGTTTGATTTTTCCTTACTTAAAATTTATGAATTATTGAAGAACTAGCAAAGGAGTTCCTAGTTTTGGACAATGGGGCTCTTGGTTCTAGTGTGAGAAAAGAAGGAAGAGGGCTCCATTTTGGTGTGGAGAAAGGAACTAAGAGGAGATGAGAAGTAAAGGAGAATGATGTGAATTGAGGGAGGAATGGGGAGGAAAGTTTTATGAATTGGAGGAGAATTTTTGGGCTGTTGTGGCATGAGAAGGAGGAAGTTGGGAGTTTCAGCTGTAGTTATGGAGATAATGGGGGAGAGAGTGAGGGTGGGGGGTTTGGAAGAGTACATAAAAGTGGGAGTGAACGGGTAAGATGGAGGGAGTGGTTAGGCTTTTTAATTCTAGGGCTAAGATTTAATTGATTTAAAGAGGAAAAAATGTGGACTTCGGTTGAGGTCTTATGGACCAATAAGAATTGTTTACAAGGATAGGTGATGTGGTAAAAGGAGGCGGGTTAGATTGGGAACTAAATGGGTGGTCTAGACTGAGTGGCATTAGTGTAATTTTGCACAATTATGAGAGAAAACTCATAACTTTGCATAGAGAATTGAGAAAAAAATTAAATTTGTATTCCATTTGAAGAGGACAAGACAAGGATTTCAACAATCTAAACCATTTCAAAAATGGAGTTTTCTAGTTCAAGTTATGGCCATTTGAAGTTTGGAGATGATTATGGAAGGTGGATATGCTCAAAAAATTGAACTTACCCCCCATTTGATAGAGAAAAATTATAGGAATTTAATGGTTCAATTGGTTTTGGCTAATTCAAGTTAGATAGAGAGATATGATTGGTCAAAGCTGGCCCTGCCCTAGGAGAGAAAAATATCATTGTTCACAAAATTTTTTATTTAATTTTATTGATCAAAATAGTGCATTTTTAACTTTAGAACAACTTTGTTGTAGTTTGGAGCAGATTGGAAGTCATTTTAATTGAGTTATGATCAAATTCTCATTTTATTATTGAAATTATTATTTTCTCTCTGTTGATTATTGTTTGCTCAAAAGGTATCCAAACAGGGTCGGGCTGATCGCGGAGGGACTCATTTAAAAGATTTTGACAATACATATAAAGTGGTAAAATTTGTTTTCGAAAATAGTTAATTCATTGAAAAAAAATTATGTGGTACTATTTCTTATGCATAGGAACCCTAAGTGCACAATTTTACATAAAATAAAGTCCAATGGCCACCAAACATGTTTGCCTGATCTTCATATGTGAATATGAAGATCATGCAACTTAACAAATTTAGTTTGGATCACCAGATCGACTTGTGAAGGAAAATAATAATTTTTAGGGTTTTCGAAAATTTGACTTGAAAAATTTCACGTAAAAAATATTCCAATTTATTAATTTTCATAGTCTCTATTTGTGCTAATAAGTCTCATGAATCTTTCAAAATGAGGTTTTGAGCCTTAAAATAATCTCAGAAGATAAAATAATAATCTCAGGATTTCGGTGAAAATCAAGCTCAAGTGAGATTCGATCAAACTTAAACCAAGAAAATAAGGGTTGATAAAAATTGAGGTTAACATATACATTTCATAAGCATGTATGGATTTGAACTATTTTATAACATATGCTTGTAGTATGCATATGATTTATCATCACAATGTGCAATTATATAGCCTTGACTCTTATATCCTGGCACACGCATGTGTGCAAATATGTCCTTGCCATATTTTTGTATAACATATAGGGGTGATTAGCTTTAAAAGCTCACCTATGTGTATACCCCTTCATCACTTGCATTTAGCATATATTGTATGACTTCACCTAGTATATGTCATAAACATATCATGTTTATTTCACGCAAGCATCTAACCCAACATGATTGTGTTTATTCTCGACATTTTTTGTATTTATGTATAATCGTTTTAACTTGTGCGGTTATGCATAGCAAGCACATTATATATATATATATATATATATATATTTATATATCTTTACATGTTATTTGATTTTAGTACTTGAACCTAATATAATACCTACACCTAGTATATTATCAACCCTTGTTATGGCTGCTCACACCTAACTTGTGCATTCATATTATGTAAATGTTTCATTTGGATAAAAAAAAATTTTTCTGAATGTTTTTTCCTACAGCATTCCATTCTAAGGGCCTGTTCGGGGCAACTTAAAAGTGCGGTGGCATTTTTGAACATGTCACCTAACTGTTTGGTTTGCGCGTTTTTGAAAACGCTGTCAGCTTTGTTTGGATTTTTTACCCTAAACGCGGCCTGCGGGTCGACCGCGAGGGTCGACCGCGACCGCGAGGGTCGACCCGCGCGATCGACCCACAGGTCGCGTTTCAAGATAAGCTTTTTTACCCTAAACGCAGAGGGTCGACCAGCAGACCACGTTTCAGAATAAACTGTTTATCATGAAACACACAAACTGCCCCAAACAGACGAAAAAGTGCCGTCAAATGGGCCCTCAGTTATTACAGCATGTCCCTTCCAATTTCACAAACATAACAGGAAGAAGCATGCCTCCAATTTCCCTAGCCTTTTCTCTAATAAACGACAATAATATATTTATACATATATATATGAATTCGAAAATGTTTATCCATTTGCACAGTACCAACTACAAAGCATACACAGAGAATCAAAATAGTTAAAAACAGAAACGATAATCTAACACCTAGCCCTTACCTTTACAAATCACTTCTTCTAGCCAAGGATCGAGATTAACAAACAGCTGGGGAAGTGATGTGATTGATCCTGCAAGCCTTTTCAGCTCATCAAAAATCAATAGGCTCTGTCCGATCCTGCAACGCCAGGCGCTCTGATACATCCGCTAGAGACTTGAGGTTGCATTTTATGAGGGCCTCCACGAAGAAGCGGGTCTCATCTTCTGTGTTTCCGTTCGGCACATCAACAACGAAGGATTCGATCACCAGAGTGCCTGGTCTTCCATCGATGGTCTCGGGATGCACTGTTATGACTGATGAATAGTTCTGAAAGTAGTCAAAATTGAAAATGAGTCATATTTTTCTTCCCCAATTTTGGCTCGAATAGATTTAGTGCGGCTCAAAATCAGTTCGTGGCTCGTTATATTTAATTTCGAGCCGAGCCAGCTCATAATTGAACCAAATTGAGTTACTTTGGATCTGTTTCTCTGTTTCAGCTTCGAATCAGATCGATCTGGCTCAATGTTGAAACTAATTGGCTTAAATTGAATTATTTAGATCCGTTCCAGCCTGAAATAGACTCGAAATTATCTCGTGAGTTGCTATATTCAATTTTACTTTGCATTTTATATATATATATATATATATATATA